AATTAGCTTTTTTTTATTATAAAAAATCAGCTGAATTAGGATATGCTAAGGGATTTTATAAACTTGGAGAATTTTATACATTTGGAGAAGATGGTGTTGTTCAGAAAAATGAAGTTCAAGGATTTGAATATTATCAAAAATCTGCAAATTTAGAATATTTAAGAGGAACAAATAAAGTAGCGTATTGTTATAAAATAGAAAGAGGTGTTAAACAAGATGAGGAAAAGGCTTATATGTTATTTAAAAAAATTTCTAAACAACAAGTAAAAGAAAAATTTTATTTATTTTAATTAGTACATTTGTACCAATTAAATTTTTTTATATATAATTTAAAATGTATTTATCTAAAAAGAAATTAAAATTTTTAGAATCCAAATTTTGTTTAAAATATTCATATGAAACTTTTCTTTCATTACATGGTCTTAATATGACCAGACTACGAAAAAAAGAATTAAATGAATAGTTAAATCGAACTGAAACTGATAAAGTTGAACAATATTTCAAGATAAATTTTCTACATACTTTTAATTATCTTGATCATTTGAAATTATATAAAAATAATTATTCATACAAAAAAGATGATGATAATGAATATCTTATGTTTATCTTAATAGGAGATATTGAACAGATATATGATTTAATTGATAAGACATTTGGTCATAATTTTATTACGATTAATGATCAATCAGATTTTAATTTGAAAAATAATCATGATTCTTATACATTAGTCATTAAAGAATTTGTACAAAAAAAATGGGACATTAATTTTTATCTTACTTTTAATAATAGACATGATCAGATTATTTTTTTCATTACACAATATGAAGTTAATGATTGGAGAAAAAATTTTGGTCCATTATATTACAGAAATAATGAAAAAATATTCAAAGAGAAAATTACTTGGAGAATAGAGCAATCTATCTTGTTAAATCTTAAAAACATGCAAGATTCAGAGATCGAAACTATTTTAGAACTTAAATTTAACAAATTATTAAATAAAACTATTTCTAACTAGTGCTTAGCACCAGTTAGATTTTTAATTATATAATTTATTCAACATGAACAATCTTCCTAATGAGATTTTGTTGATGATTTTTTCTTTGATCTTACCAGAAAAAATCACACTATTTGATAAACAATATTATCGACTTAAATTTGTTTGTGTTCTATGAAAAAATCTTCTCAAATTATTAGTAGTTAAACAAAGAAGAAAATATTATTTAGTAGAAAAACGTTATGAACCACCTATTCTCTTAAATTGGAATATAGAATATGAAAATAACAAGATTTATATATGTTTCAATAATATGAAATATGAATTAGAAACTAAAAATATATTATTTTATTTTACAGAATATTTTGATCCTTTATCAAAATATCATTTAATTAAAAAAAAACATTTATTTAAATATAGAAAACGAAATTGTGATCGCTGTAGAATAAATACTTATTGTTTATCAAAAAAATATTATTTTAAAAGTGGCTATAATTGTCAAACAGAAGACTATTGTCAAGATCCTAAATTAAAATTTTATTATAATAATCAATGTTATATAGAACATACTCATAATGTTTGTATAATGTGTAATGAAATTTATATGTATAATATTCCTCAGGAAATAGAAGAATATTTAACAAAACATATTTTATAAAATATAAAAATTTTATTATAAATTTATTTTTATTTCTATCTAGTCTAGAAAGACCAGATAGATTTTTTTGTATGTAATTGTAAAATGAATAAACGTGAAGATTTTATTACTGAACCTGACACAAATACTTTTTTTATTTATGATGCAATTGATTACTCAAATAATGAAGGATATTTTTTACGACTACATACAGTTTGTTCAAATGGTCGTAAATTTTTAATCAACATTATAATTCAAGATATCTTCTTCGATATAAAATTAAATCAAGAAAATTCTATTTTATCATATACAAATGAATTTAAACCTCAAAGT